GAGGAGTAGGGGTTTTGGGTTTGGGTGGGGGGTTAAAATGGGGCCCCTGGAGGCCGGGGGGGGGGAGGAGACCAGGGAACTAGAGAAAAGGGGAGTTCTTAGTGAGGAGCGGGAGTGTGCGTGTTGGGGCGGTACTTGGATATTAGGTCAGTGATGTAGTTCGGGCAGTATGGTGGACGGTTTATGTACGTCAGTGTTAGGATTATTGAATTTGATCCGTTGTGCAATCGGAAGCCAGTGGAGGGATTGGCAGAGGGGGTGGAGGACACTGAGTGGAGGCCAGTGGAGGGATTGGCAGAGGGGGGTGGAGGACACTGAGTGGAGGCCCAGTGGAGGGATTGGCAGAGGGGGGTGGCGGAGATGGAGCGGTTTGGAAAGGTGAATGAGTCTGGCAGCCGTATTCAGGATGGACTGAAGCGGGGATAGCCAGCGGCGAGGCAGGCCAGTGAGGAGGGAGTTGCAGTAGTCGAGTCGTGATATGTTGAGGGAGTGGATGAGCTGTTTAGTGGTTTCCCGGGGGTTAGGAACGTGCGGAATATTGTCGATGTTGCGGAGGTGGGAGGTCTGCAGTGTTGCGGACTGGTGGGGTCTGCATGTTGAGGAGGCTGAAGGGAGTCTGCATGTTGAGGATTGGCCGGAGTCTGCATGTTGCGGAGGCCGAGTCTGCATGTTGCGGAGGCCGGTAGTCTGCATGTTGCGGAGGCCGAGTCTGCATGTTGTGGAGGCCGAGTCTGGCATGTTGCGGAGGTGGAGTCTGGCAGGAGTTTGTTAAAGATTGGACTTGGGGCTGGAAGGATAGGTTGGAGTCCAAAATGACACAGGAAAGTATTCTGGCCTGCGGGGCGGGATTTTGAATGGCGGCATTGTTGGACGTGACGAGGAGAAGTCAATGGGGGGTGGGGTCCAGGCTGGGGGGAAGACAAGAAACTCAGTTTTGGAGAGGATCAGTTTAAGGAAGTGGAGGTGGAGCGACATCCAGTCTGAAATGTCGCTCAGTTAGGTGTGTGATTCGGGCGGAGACCGAGGGGAATGAGGTGGGGGGTTGAGAGATAGATTTGTGTTCGTTCGGCATAGAGGTGGTAATCGTTTTGAAGCCGTGAGAGTGTATGAGTTGGCCAAGGGAGGAGGTGTAGATGGAGAAGAGAAGGGGCCCGAGGACAGGAGCCTTGAGGGACCCCAACAGAGAGAGGGGAGTGAGAGGGGAGATGGGTGGTGGGTGGCATTGTAGGGTAACACTGAAGGAGCATTGTGACAGGTAGGATGGAGCCAGGAGAGAGCATGCAATCTCTGAGGCCGAGGGAGTGTAGTTTTTTATTGAGGAGGAGGGGGCGTTGTGGTCGACTGTGTCGAAGGGCCGCAGAGAGGTCAAGGAGTAGGAGCACTGAATAGTGGCCATTAGCTTTGGCGGTTATTAGAAGGTCGTTAGGAGAGTGATTGAGTATAAGGCAGTTTCGGTGGAGTGTAGGGGACGGAAGCCGGACTGTAGGGGGGGGATCGAGGAGGTTGTTGTCATTGAGGTGAGAGCATAGGCAATTGTAGACAAGGATGCTCTCCAGAGGAGTGTTATAGTAAATGGGATGGGAGTTGAGATGTATGGTCCAGAGGGTTTGTTCGGGTTGTCATTGGGGACCAGGGAGGGTTTTTTTAAGCTATGGGGGGTGATGTGTGCATATTTCAGAGGGGAGGGAGGGGGAAAGCGGTGCCCGGAGATAGGGAGGAGATTATAGATAGTGGGTGAGGGAGCGTAGGATCGAGGGGAGAGGAGTGCATCGGTGAGGAGTTGTGAGGGAGACAAGGTTCAAGGATAGGGGTCATTAGTGGGTGAAGCAGGCATCAGAAAGACCTTGGAGACCTCCATCGATCGAATAGTAAGCAGATCGAAGGGTGTGGAGTGTAGGAGGACCGATCCTCAAGTGCACGACACTGTCAGGTCAAACGATCACCTGGAGGTCAGATCAGATCGTGTGCGCCGAGAGGATGGGCAATTGTGACAAGTGCGTAGCTCGTGACCGCAGGAGTTCGGATTTGCTAATCTGGAGGAGTATTGACAAGGCATAGATGCGGGTGTCCTTTGAGGTGTCAATACCCGGTCCCCCTGGGGTCAGGAGCCCGATTGGCGTTTTTTCATGGGGCGTGAGTGAAGGTGCTGCATTCCCAGAGGGGGTCTGGACCCGAGCATGCCGGAGGAGTTTTGAAGGGTGCACCAGAAGCTTGCCTCCTAGTTCGTAGGGAGTGCAGACTACTCGGAGCGGGCCTTTGAAGCAGGGTCAGGGAGGTAGGCATTGTTCCCATGACGCCAAGCGTGGGAAGCAGGTAGAGGTGTCGTAGGAAGTTGGAAAAGGACAGATTTGAGTAAGAGCAATCGCAAGGGCACGCCTTACTCCGGTAACCGTCCCAGACGAGAGGTCAGATGCAGACCTGCGTGACCTCCTCGGATGACAGTAAATCGCCATCGGTTGTGGAGTGTTGCAGGGGGGCATCAGCCTCTGCCTTGAGAGGAACAGTTTGGCGTGTGGTGTAGGATGGTACAGAGCAAGTGAAGATCGTGAACCGAAGATGAGCGGTGTGGCTATCCTAATGGGGGTAGCTTGTCTCCTGTGAGAGGGGACGGTTTAGGGAGGTGAGTTTGAGCAGCTTCGATTTCTTTTGCGCATTGTGTCAATCATTGTTTCTAAAGTGATTGCGCGGCAACTCTCATGGCCGCGCTCCTGACGATGAGGTGCTGGTTGGGGGGGTGGGGGTAGGGAGGGGGGAGAGTTGGGAAGGTGGAGAAGCAGCAGCGGGGATTGGAGGAGAGTGGGCCTTGATGACGGGTCAGCCCCGATAGTAGGCTTTGTTTAGGCTGCGTTTGGAGGCGGACGGTGGTAGATGTGGACAAGGCGAGAGTTTGTCATAGGCAATGCAATTTGCTTATAGCTACAAATCCACTCATTTTTCTGCCAGACTGAACCCTCTAAACCTCCATAAATCCAGTTCTAGAGAACCATAAATTGTAAAATCTGCAGCACTCAGCAGAACAGAAAGATTATCCTGATGAGAAAAATCCAGGAATACCTGGACGGTGGAACACAGGCTCAGGAAAGATGACCAGGGGATTACAGGGCTAGATATCACCCAGTCCCCGCCCTACTCTGGACCAATCAGTCCTGGTGTGATCAGTGAGCAGTATGGGTGGAGGAATGGATTTAGTGATCATCATGACCCCAACCTGTGCTGATCTCTGTAGGAGTGTCGCCTCCATCACTATAAATAGTCCCCGTTATTCCATCCTCCTCCATAGACTGCTGATCATCCCCTCACATAACGCCTCTTCTTCTTCTGCTTTCACCTCAAATTCTATATCGATTGGATCTCCACTCTAAATCAAGAAAATGAGAGAAAATAATCATCTGTAAATATAAGGTCTCACATAAAAAAAATTTCCACACATTCTTCACTACAAGTCCATGTTCTAGATGCTCTCCATCCCACCAACCTTGTAATAGTGGTAGAGGGATGGTGTGACCTTCCTGTGTGGAATCTCCCGGGAATACAGAGGACGGGACATCTCTCTGGTGGGTTCCTGGTATATTAGGTGGCTCCATCATATCCTTGTGTCCTTCTGAAAACTCCTCCATCACTCCATACATCCTCATCCTCGCTCTATTAATACTCTTCTTTAAACATCAATATTACTCATCCCTCCGAGGAATTCCATCTGAAAGATATAATAAAACATTCATTGTAACAAACATGCTGTGTATAAATCACAACTACCAATACTTGTCATCATCTACCTGATGATGGTTGAGGGAATGGTGTGACCTTTCCTGTGTGGAAATCCCGGAAAACAGAGGACGGGGACTTCTCTCTGGTGGGTTTCCCATGACTGGATTTCCATCTGTAGGAAACACACACACTCGACTGAATCCATTGGTTTCTAAGTGTTTATCAGATGATGTGGGGATCTAGGTGGATCCTCCGTACTGACTCTCGTGACATCCTCCTTTACAATAAAGTCTCCTCTTACCGGTGATCGTGAGGGGCGGCTGATTGTCCATCATGACGTCCCTTGTAGAGATCCTTGTGTCCTTCTAAATATTGATGTACTCATCAACATATCATCTCATCTGTGATGATAAGAAGACATGACTGTGGAGGTAACAGGATGAACTATGGGAGGAAGAGGAGGACTAGAGGAAGAGACGGACCATGAGACATGATAAAGAGGACGAGGGACGTGGAGATGATGGAAGAGGACGGACATGTGGGGGTATACACTTACTGGGTATAAAAAGAACATAACATCTTATTACCTCCTCTGTTGCCACGTCCCCCAACGTCTCCGATCTCATTCACACTACATGGCACAGCCTGCCTTTAGTCCAAATGACTTCCTGTATGTTCCTGACATCACTTCCTGTCTGTTCTTGACATCAACTTCCTGTCTGTATTCCATAGAGAAGTCCTGTATCAGGGTAGTTAGATATGAGATCACCATCTTGTGGAGTTCAGAGGATAACTGCAGCCCCGAGAAATGTCCCCTAATACCCATCAACTCTGCATTGTATCTACCTTACAGAGATATCAGGGAGGAGCCAAAATAACTAAAAAAAATGTAAGAAAACAATAAAACCTAAACTCCTTTATGCAAACAACTGTTTAAAAAAAAGATATTTTACTACCAGATAGAAAAGTCTTAAAGACACAGAACACAAGATAAAAACAAAGGTATAACATCATAACAAACACAGAGAGAATCATCCGAGAAACCCCGCCCCATGTGACATCAATGATGTTACATGGGCGGGGTTTCTCATGATGATGTCCACGGCTGGGCGTGCACCCCGCCCAAAACCTATTAAGAACTGTCGTCAGCTAGCCTTTTTTTCAGAACGCTGGACGCCTCCAACGGGACCAGAACTTTTTTTTTTTCTCTTTTTTGGGTCCCCCGCCGCTGCTCCGTGATTGACGACTATTGGATCTACTTTCGGGGGACATTGTTTTAATAAAAGGGACTTGTCAAAGACCCCTGTACTGCGTTTTTTTTTTACACCACACTTTTTTTTTTTGTGAATGAGTCGCGGGACCATGTACCGCAGACTCATTCACGTAGGGGAGGGGGGGCAAGGATCTTGGGGGCCCCCTTGTTAAAGGGGGCTTACAGATTCTGATAAGCCCCCGCCCACAGACCCCCCACAACCACCGGCCAGGGTTTTGTGGGGAAGAGGCCCTTGTCCTCATATGACATGGGGACAAGGTGCTTTGGGGGAGAGCCCCCCTGCCCCAAAGCTCCCCCCATATGTTGAGGAGCATGTTGGCCTGGTATGGTTCAGGAGGGGGGGGCACTCGACTCGTCCCCCCCCTTTCCTGACCTGCCGGGCTGCATGCTCAGATAAAGGCGTCTGGTTATGGATATTGCGGGGGGTACTCCCCACGCTTTTTTTTTTTTAAATTTCAGCGTGGAGTTCCCCCTTAATATCTCATCCACCAGACCTGAAGGGCTTGGTATGGATGAGAGGGGGGGACCCCACGGCTGTTTTTTTTTATTATTTATTTAATTCACGGCAAATAATTTCAAATTCAGCTGTCCAGAGTGGGAAACCCCGATGACAGCTGAAACATAACTTCTGTCCCTGCAGAGAGCTCCGCTATTATATTTGACACATTAAAAAGTATAAAGGTTGCAACATTGTATCTATTTGTATCCCTGATTTTCGGATATAGATGTTTTTTTTATTCGGATACAAATTAGATACAATGTGTTGCAACCTTTATACTTTTTAATGTCAAATATAATAGCGCAGCTTTCTGCAGGGACAGAAGGAATTACTTTGCTATTATATTTTGCAGTGCAGGCCGTAGACGGGGGCAAAAATCGGACAATTTTGTTTTACCGTTGGTGGTAAACAGTCGGCCCATTGAACAATCCGATTTTTTCTTTTTTTTTTAAAACGTGTCAGACTTATTTGTCAGTTTTCGCCCCATCATCTACGGCCTGCATTTTTTTCCTATTTCTTCTTTTTCTTAATCTTTTTTTTATGTCTTCTTTTTCAATTTTCTTTCTTCTTTTTCTTCTTTTTCTTGCAGGTCATGGCTCATGCGCAGATTATTTATTATCTTTAAGATGATCAGACCAATTTTGCCGATCATCCTGCCTGCAAAAACTTGGCCGATCCTGCTAAAATCGCTGTGGTTTTTAAGTCCAAAATATACTGGATTAATCTAAAAGTTGCAGAAATCCCCCAAAAAGTGGCTAGACCCAATTAACACCACAACTCAACGGCCTCGAAAAATCAGACCCCAAGCCCGGATATTTTTTTTTTTTTTTTTCTCTCGGCCAGATTTTTAAAGACCCATCCTAAAGCAGGGCCATAGATGGATCTAAAATCTCGCCCGGATTTTTTCTGACCGAAAAAAACGAAAAAACGATTTTTTCAGGCCGTTAGTGTGGTAAAATTGGTTGGAGCGCCGTTTTTTTTCGGGGATTTTGGCAACATTTTTTTTTTTATCAAGTAAATTTGGAAAAAACAAAATTTCCAACTTCCAACTAAACTGATAAACAAACATATGGCCAAACATCCCCTGAAAAAAAAAATGTGGCCGACCAATTTAATCCCACTAAACGGAAGAGGGGCCCCTTGTCACCCATTTAACATGGGACAAGGTTGCTTTGGGGGGGGAGCCCCCATGTTGAGGGCAATGTGGCCTGGTATGAGTTTCAGGAGAGGGGGGGGTTCTCTCGCTCATCCCCCCCCCTTAGTCCCTGACCTGAACTAACACGGGTGCTGCATGCTCGTATAAGGGTCTGGTACTGGATCTATTGGGGGAAGTCCCCCAAGCAGTGTTTTTATTATTTAATTTTGCGGAGCGTGGAGTTCCCCCATTACATATAACCATACCCCAGACCCGAAGGGCTTTGGTGGGGGATTGGGAAGGGGGGGGACCGCTCCCAAAGGACCTTTGTGGGGATGGGAGGGGGGGGGGAAAACCCCCATGAACGTTTTTTTAGATAATTTAATATGGTTCTGGTTATTTTAAATGAAATTTCCTCCCTCTTTTTTGTTCACTATACGCTCAGCAAACTTCACGCTGCGCACTTCCCCCAGCCTAAAAGAGAAAAGTTTTCCTTGGGAATTATATATACCCTAAAGGAAAACAATGATTTACTATTGAGTTTATTAATAGAGATACAAAGTTATTCTGTAACTAACTTCGGGAGAAGTGGACTTTCTACTAAGGCTTGGTGAGACTAAAGTGAAAGAAAAAACAAAAGTGCGGCATTTGCATTTGAAAATCGGCCGCCGGACATACACTTTGGGGGTATTAGCCGAAAAAAATTATTATAGACAACTATGTTGTAAGAACCCGGAGGCTTTATGTATTCAATGGATTTTTCAATTAGTTAACCCGAAAGATTACGTTAACACCAAGTTCGTTGGGTAACCACCCTAGATAACGGGCCCTGTCACCCCGCATGACGTAACATTAGTATTGCAATCGCATTGTATTGGTGATACAAATAGAACCAACCATACATCTGAATTGGCAAACATAGCACAACATTTGTGTCACATTGTGAAGATATCTCCTGGTCTAGTTACACTTGACCTTGCGCCCCAGGGGACCTAGGATTTTGATTTCACGACCACAGAAATACAGGTGGTGAATAGTGATTCAACATGCGTCCCGAGGATTTAGTTGGTTAGCACTGCTGCCCTCACAATACTAAAGGGTTGTTAGTTTGAAAATCCCAGACCACAGCAATGAAATTTGCATGATCTCTGATGTGACTGTAAACCCTAACATTAACATGATTGGGCTGGTGGCAGCATCTTTGCTTTTCTGTTTTACAATGATTCCACAGAATGTGAATTAGGAATTAGATGGACCGTTGATACTGTATCAAACAACCTAACTGTCAAAGTAGCACCTGTTTAAGTAGCACCTTACTGAATGTCAAAAATGATAGGGACTTGAGATAAGGGCCTGGACTAATGATTGATATGGATAACGCTGTGGTATCTGCACCTCCAGCACGCCCCCTTATAGATGGAAAGGTTTGGTCAATACATAGAGAAGAGAGAGCAAGCGAAGTGAAAAAAGGATTAAAAAAGCACAATAAATTTATAAAATAATTGGCATGGAAGCTCCCCTCCGCCAGCGACCAACCCACAACGCCGCAAAATCCACATACAGACAGAACCCTACCCCTTATCAGCAGCCATGCATGATACCCTCGCATGCGCCTTCAATAGATCTTATTTTCCATTTGTTGAAAGGTTGGCCATGCTATGGTTTCACCACTGAGAATGCGATTTAAAATATGCGCTCGTTTTTTTGTTGGCAATTCTCACACGTTTTTTTTACTGTAGATTATACCATTGAGTTAACTTTGCCGTTTTCAAATTGTGTTTTGCATTGTGGGTTTCCTATTTTAGTCCTATATGTGAAATCAGCTACAAAATGCTGAAAAAGTTAGACGAGAACTACTTTTTGAAATTGGGCTGCATCTCTTAATATGCGTGCTTACGTTAAGTAGCACACACTCACAACTCCTAGAGACATTCATTAGATTGCCGATATCAGGTACAATTTTTCAATTCCCAAATCGCACCTGAAAGTCGTGCACTCACCGGCCTGGATACCACCTTAGAATGCGATTTTGCATGGCATGCGACTTGCAAATCGTATGCCAAGTCGCAGCGCCTATGTTGACTGCTATTAGAGCAGATCACCATGGTGTGTTTCACCGACACTCGCGAGATTTCTATAGTAGTACATGTAACTTACTTTTGTGGCGATATTGTGTCATTAGAGTATTACTATGTGCTCAGACAGAGTCCTTGCGAAATCCGTACAAGGAAATTCGGCATCTTCCACGTGTAACGTCGCCCCACAATTTCTAGAATCTGAGCGATTGAATGTGACCGCTGCGGTCCTCGAGTAAGGCCTTTTTTATGTTTGAATTTCGCTGAGTTTTTTTTCCAATATAATGGCGAAATGCCCCGCGATACATAGCACTAAGTCGAATTGACATATTCAGGTAATTCGCATCGCGAGATGCGTTGTCATATTGAATCTGCCTTTCAACATCATAGGCGTATTAATACCTGAGGAGGGAATTGTG